AACATTTTGTCAAAAAAGTAATTTCTTGGCAGAATAGAACACAAAAGCCGCACGAAATAAACCAAAACAAAATCCCGTATTTGTATCTGTATCTAAATATGTTTGAATCTGTATCTGTATTGGTTTCGAGTGGGCCGTGAAACGTCGCCTCGTCCGTGGAGCATCGCCAGCAATTGCAAATTGTGATAAAAGTAGAGAAAACACTCGCCGAAATATGGGTCATCCTCGATAGATAGAAATCTCTGGGTCTCTGGCTCTCGATTCAGAGTCCGATTCCGATACCGATTCCGATCCACTTGTGCTCTGGCCCGTTACTTTGGCGGTGGAGTGGAGTGGAGCACTAGAGCTGGAATAACGGCAGCCCCATGGAAGATCAACGGGAGATCTATAGAGCAAAAAGAGGGAGAGGGGAGACCATAGAAAAAAGGAAGGAAAATACATATAAGTAAAGATTCCCAGTAGGAAGAAAAAAGCCGTTTCGGCAGTTTCGATTAATCGATTGATTTCCTATCGATCTAAAAAAGAATCGTGTCCTTTGGGATGCGGAACACCCACGTTTCCAGTAGGAAGGCCAGAGAACTACTCTGATCCGAATTCTAGGGAATTCTCGTCTGAAGCTTTCGCTTGTGCCGCGCAGAAAATTTCTACGCCTCTCGATCTAGATATTCATTAGAGATTCCACAGCCATGGGAGATGATTATTAAATTGCATTCAGCACTTGGCCGCTTGGCCGCTTGTCCGCTCCGCTTGCAATTAAATTAAGTTGGAAAAATGAAAATATACATAAATATATTGAGAATGATTTGTTTTGACAAGTGTCTCAAGAATTCAGTGCTTACGATACTTGGAGGAGGAGTGTTGTCTTGTGGCATTCGAGTATTCCTCAGGTTCAGCTCTTGAGGTTTTCTTTTGGGCTGTCAGAAAAGTGTCAGAATCATAGAATTGTGACAGCAAGCACGCGGGACTCATTCTCATATCCCTCCAATTTAATTTCTGAAAAGAAACAAAACAAAATAAATACAAGAATTAGAAGCGTACTGGTAGATGTACATATATCTATATCTCGTTTTTAGAGATGGAAATTTTGTGCGGGGAAATTAGTTGATTTGTGTTTGGTATTTGAGTAAACAGCGGATTCCATAATGTTTTCAATTAATAACAATTGCCGAATGCCAGCCATGGTCTCTCGGAACGATGTGTGCGGGGAGATCTATGACGCAGATCTGACCCGATCCGATCCGTTCCGATCCGATCTGAACTTCATTTGTATATTTGTTTTCCAAACTATAATTATGGATTTTTCACTAATTAGCTGATGGGCTTTCCACTTGGATTGAGTGATTTATTGGATTGAGAAGTAGGGAAGAATATGTTCTGGACTCGATGGATTTTTAATGGAGAAAGAGCGGAAATACCTTGAGCTTATTTATGGGCGGGTGGAGAACCTTCTTCCGTTTATAGATAACATTCGGCTATGATAACGAATCCCATCGCCATGTGCCACCGCCACTCGATGTCGTCATCGGAAGTGATTTATTTATCGAACGAAACGATCCGACCCGACCCGACCCGACCCTACCCTACCACTCCCGCCATAGACCAAAGCATGGTCGATCCCCCTTCCCTTTCATTTCGGTCTTTTTTGCCCATTCAGGCATAAAATAAAACTAATTGTACCCGCAATAAACGTCACCAGATCACGCTCCATCGCCGGCGATCTACGAGTGTGCACATATGTGCTCTGCTCTGCCCACTACGGATATTGGTAGTAGTACTTCTCGTATTCGCGAAACCCCAATCCCCGAATAAAGAGCACGTCCCACGGGCAGGGGCTGGGTCTTCTTCCTGTATGACTCTGTGTGTCTTACATCAATCTAATGTACGTTTCACGGCATACGGAATACCGAATGCCACACAAAGTTCTAGATGCTTGTACACGTAATTGGAATGCGAATTACTTAATTTTCTATGGATTTTCCATACACATCATTTTTTTTTTTTTTGTTTTTCTGTTTTTTTTTTCTGTTTGATGCCCCGAAAAGCACAGACAATTATACAAGGCATTGATGCCGCGTTAACATTTCCGGCTACACAGCACTCTGTCTACTACGATTACAATCCATCTGTTATCCCTCCGTCGCTCCCTCTGAGAGTTTCGTTTTTGGACTCTGAAAATAGAACACGTGTTTCCTTAGGCTCGCGCGATGAACTTCAAACCCCACAACACTCGAAGGGGGGAAAAGCAAACAAGTATTTCAGTTCGTTAGCACCCCGAGGTAACCCCAGAAACAGAAGGCATTAAACTCATTATGGAAACTTGTTTTAGTGGTGTGTTGTTGGGGATTGCGGATTGCGGATTGGGGAATGCGAATGCGAATGGGAAATGCTCGAGCGACGTATGTATGTGCACGGGCACGGCACGGGCACGGGCACGGGCACGGGTACGGGTCCACCACACAGCAGTCGGCAAAAATTTCCAACGAGATTTTGTACGTTTTCGGAAACTCCATCTGCCACATGTGTCCCCCTCCTCTGTGTGTGCGCGTGTATCTGTATCTGTATCTGTATCTGTATCTGTGGCAGACACGCATGCGCTGAATGCGCGCTGTCATCATCGGAGTCTGTTGCCATGCGCAAAGCCAGATGCCAGAGCATACCCTTTTTGCATTTTGTTTCCTTTGAAATTTCGGCACACATGTGGCATTCGATGGGCAAGCAACCGTGGGGCACTGCTGCATGGTGCGCCACATGTAGCATATCGTCTGTATCTTCTGGCTTAAGGAGCTTATGAAATACGATCCTCGGTGCAGGAGAGGGCAGATGGGGATCGATCAAAGTGTATCTCGGGGTTCGTTCTTCTACCACCCTAATGATCCGCTTCACTGGGGCCTGCTCCACTCTTTCGTGCGAGTCTTCTTTCGAACGCTCTTTATGGCGCGGTAATTCGTGCCGTGCCGGGCCTCATTTCCTTTTTGCTCCCTTTGCTCTTTCTCTCTCTCTTTTTTGTTCCCCTTTTAGCGGCTTTGTCGCGTTTCTGCTTTGTGAGAGCTTCTTCGTTGGAATTCATTCAACTTTGGCGCTCTGGTATTTTTGTAGTTGTTTTTGTTTCGATCCGTTTCGTGCCGTTTCTGTTGCTAACTTATGAATGATCCCAAAGATCCGATCCCCAATGATCACGATCATCACGCTGATGATGATGATGCAGTTGATGAGTTCTGTGGCCACAAATAGAAACACGCTCGCCTTTCATTTCCGTTGCAATTTTTGGCACCCTTTATGGGAAAAAGTCATTCCTCTCTTCGCCCGCTCTCGCCCTCTGCCATTGCAAGGGAGGGGCACACGTGCCTCCCTGCACAAAGTTTTCAATGAACTTCCAAATACGGGAACGACTGGTTCTGGAACTCGCTGAGGAATAGTCCAAGCCATTTCAATTTCAATTCCATTCATATAAGCGCGGCTCTTAACGGTTCAATTCCATTCCAATTCCCATTCTGGATGGACCTAGAGACTCAATGCCCGGCAGCATCGCCTCTCCATTCCACAATATTCCTTGCAGTTTCCATTTCCATTTCCATTCCGATTCCAATTTCAATTCCATGCAGGCGCCGTCTTTTGCGAATTCTCAACATTCAATGCACGACGGCGCCCCTCCATCTGCTCGTAAATCACACGCCCCAAAAGCCCCCACATAGCCGATCTAGAGTGGGCGTGTCATATCATTTGAATACTAATACATTTCGCATTTGCCAAAAAGGAATACAACAACTTCAAAGTGAGAACAACAAATTACACTCCACGCGAAATTCCAAAGAGTTCTCTTCGTGGCTCGGGTGGCGGTGGGGCGGCCTGACGAGGGGCACGGTTAGGGGCAGGGGTACGCACATGGACCCGGCGCGCTAGGCACGAACTGGTACCTGTTTTTCGTGGCTTTTATTTGTTTTATTTTGTCTTTAATTTATTATTTTGTTGTTGTTGTTTTTTTGCCACTCGTTTTCGTGCTCCCAAAACGAGAAATTGCCAAAATTCCCCAAAAGATATCCATTCACAGCCACAGCCACAGCCATTCGGTGGTTCTCCATTGAAAGCCGTGAAAATTCGAACATCGAACTGCCCTTCATGGAAATTCGTGCATCGACGAAAACGTTTTAGGCGAAACCCCCTTGGGTTTTTCGCTATACTTGTAAAAACAAACCAATATCTGTACGATTTCTTGGAAGCAGCATGGGTCATACGCCCGTTTTCGTATTATCAAGACGTTATCGGGAAGGTTCCAAGGTAATGCTGCCTCTCAAAGCTAACTAAATTTTATGGGATTTGAGGAAATTCCTGGGAAATGAAGTATCAACAGCATCTGAAGTTCAGGGTAAAGACTTTTGGTGGGGTTTGTCTAAGATATGGCCATAATCCAGAGTAGAACATCACCTCTAGAAGGTATTATCATATCTTATCTAAGTAGGAAGCCAATGGGTGTGGTGGGTGGGCTGGTGTGGACTGCTGGGGGCACGTGGTCATAGCCTGCCCTAGGCTCTACGGCGAAAAAGATAGCAACCAAATTCGAGTTCGAAAACAAATACGACTACGAATTCGCCGTATTCCGTATTCCATTTATCAGAGAATCAAGTCGATGATGATGATGATGATTCACTGTGTCGTCATCAGCGGCATGGCTTCGTAGTAGTAGTCGTAAACGTGAATAGGTATGACTCTGGGTTTTTTTTACTGGGTCTCGGGTGTTGGTTGTTTTCTTCCCGCGATTCGTTTAGTTCGTTTTCAAATGCAAGTGCAGACGGTTTGTGGATCAGAGGATCTCCTGCTAACTGGATAAAAAGAAATACCATAGTATCTACTGTCATATCAGTGTCGCGTTTTCATGCACCATGCACGACCTCAGTTTCGCTGAATTGTTGAAGTTTAAGTTGCAAGATTACTGTAGGTCGAACTGAAACAAAAAAACAAAAGAATCCTCTAGTAATCGAAAATTTCTTTCGCTTTTCTTTCAGATGAGAAGATGCAACAGCAGTTTAATCCAAATAATAACAATAGTAACAACAACAATTCCAATAATGGCCACACCACTGGCAATGCTGGTGGCAACAATTACAACAACGGATACAACAACAACAACAACGGCGGCAAACGCTGCCCTGGAAAGTATTCCAATAACAATTCCAACAACGGCAATATGTCTGGATACCAAAACATCAACAACAACACTAATAACAACAAAAATGGTTCCCGCAAGAATCGGTACAACAACAACAACAGCAACAACCAGAATCAGAATCATACCCAAAAACAGCGTCACTTCTATGGCAATTCGAAAAAGCGAATCGATGGAGCAGGCGACGAGTTGGGTACCACTGGGAATGTGGAATCGCAGCCCCAATCCTGGCGCAATTACGGCGGACACCATCTGGTGAATTCTTCATGCATCGAAGGTGAGTAATTGTTGCAAAATACCGAAAATAGCGAGTACTTTTTGGAAGGAATGAAACAAAAGATAGGCACAAATAGGGGAACACCCTTGTTGGCTTTCGGCATATTCCCCCAAATTCCCAGGGCAGGGCATTCTATAAAAAGTCTCCTGCAATATTGGTTGTAGATTTCAATATTTTTCCGTATCTTCGGTGGAGAAGGCATTCCTTCGAGCGGAGAGCTCTACGGTTCTGTTTTTGGAAGTCACTCCCACACTTGATTCTCAGTTGAACTGTTGGCCAGCGAAACCCAGACATAAACACAGACACTGAAGAAGCTGATTCACCTCCATTTCCATGCCGATTACGAGTCGGCTTTTTGTTTTGCTTTTGGTTCATAAAATTCCAAGCAAATCGAGCGACCGGCATCTAAAAAATGAATCACACATACAAAACCAAAAACAAAAACAAAAACAACGTCAACGTCATCGATGGGAACGGGTATCGTATCGTCACTTGCTTCGCTAGTTGTACTTTTTGCCAGATTTGGACGTGGCTCTGATTGTATGTTGTTGCATCTTTGGGTCAGAGGCAGGGGCAGGAGGCCAGTGGATGATGGGGTGGGGGACTGGACGTTAATTAGGAAAATGCGTTTGATTGGAATGGCCTCCTTCCCACGAGACGCTCTGATGGCCGACCGACCGCCGCACACACACACAGAAATAAGTACTACGAGTACAGTCTCGTCGGGGGAATTATAGTGAGAGGTGATCCAGTAGATTGTCGAATGCGTACTCGTTTATTTGGGTCGTCTATCCATCCATCCATCCATCCATCCACCTATCTATCTATCTATACTTGCTATCCCCTGGGGAGGGTAAACCTCAGTATTCAATTGACTCTTGACCACAGCAGAGACACGTAGATACCGTTGGCCTACAGAGAGAGGGAGAGAGAGTGCCTTTTCTATTTATACACTGTCTCGTTACCCGATCTACAGAATACACAGAAATTGCAAAGGTTCTTCTGCTCATAAATAGGAAAATTGCAGGAAATCTTCGCTTAAGCCTAATGAACCTCAGATCGAAACGAGGCGCGCTCAAGATAGCAGCAGCACTGATGGGGGCCGGGGGATCTCAATCTGACGGAACGTGTGTGTCTGTCGGGGGGATAGTATTCTCTCGTAAAAATACAACTAATTTCATTGGGAGACCCGGCCCCTTCGCCGCTTGCTTTCGCTTTCGTTCGAAATTCCTCCCATTAAAAATCAATTCAAATTTCGGGCGAAAAAAGATTCAAACAACAAATAAAACAACAATAAAGCGGAATTAAATAAACAAACAAAAGCTATTGGGCACAAGAAAGGAAAGGTAGAACAAGTCGTAAAAAGACAAAAAAAAAAAAAACAAAAACGAAACCCAAAACATTTAAATGGAACTCAAATAATCAAAATAATCTATAATCTGTTCAGTTTCATAATTTCATAATTTATGCGGAAACATAAATATCATTCCTCTAATTTGCACCTGATTGATCAGAGGGATACGCATATGTATAGGTGGATATCCATATTAAATCTTTTTGAGATGAAGAATCAATGAAAAATCGCTTGCCATTCACTCAGCGCCAGGCATAGATGCCTCTAACGTATAACCATAGATCATACTCCTTTGTTTATCTATTCCTATCGATTGTTATCGATGACTAGATAACATTCCCTCTACTTTTAAAACAATCTGCCACGATAACGGCCCAAAATCCCTCTCCCTTCTATAGTTATCGATGGCTTTCGATAATTATTGTCCGATAACCCATCTCCTCTCCATATCTATATCTATCGACTGTTATCGATAACTAATCAAGCGAAAATCTTTAGATAAGGTTAAGCTGAATATTTTCCAGCTTTACTACACTTTTTACATGTTTTTTTTTTTGGGCACAAAGCGTGGAAAAAACTTTCCAGAATTGTTATCGTGCATATGCCCTATATGCCTACATATGTATGTAAATATAGTAGATGTACATGTATATGTTTTATATATATATTTATTGTATTATTGTCAGGGCGTGACGATGGGGCGGGTAGAAAGCTAAGTCGCAATACACCTCTGCGTCGACTTTCGGAGGGGCAGCAGCTGATTAGCGCTTCTGCTTGTATTCTGTATCTGTGTGAGTGTTGGGTCTTAGATTCGATTCGATTTTATTTGCCAGTGTATCAGGTGTATTATTGGTTATTATTGGTGTACCAGAGAGTGGGTACGTGCTCGTATAGTGCGGCAATCAGACGTCGGGGGTTCGATTGGGTTCGTGTATTCTGGTCAAACGATGAACTACTGATAGTCGCAGATACCGGCAGGCAGCAGCACGACAAAGAATCGAGAGAATCGAGAGAATCGGGAGAATCGAGCACTTACATAACTGATCGTTTTTTCATTGATTAGCACTTGGCCGGAACCGAAACCGAAACCGAAACCGAAACGGAGACCCAGCTCCTCCCAAGTACCGATCTGATCAGGAAACAAAAAATACTGAAAGTTGCACAACTTTTTGGGATGGAAATTTGCACTCGAGCGTTAAATAATTAGAGCTACTCGTTCTCGTACGTATGTACGTACTTACGTACGTATCTTTGGCTTTGACAGAGGGGATTGCTTGCTGGGAATCGCTAATCATCTCTAGGCACTTGAAACGTAAACGTAACCTCGAGCTCTACTTCCCCAAAGATCAGCGCCAGCAGACAGACAGGCAGACATCAGGTAGCACTACCTATTCAGAGAGAGAGAGAGAGAGAGAGAGAGAGAGAGATGTAATAAAGCCAGCTAGCAGCCGTCTTATATGACCCACAAAGGGCCATTAGATAATTGTGTTGGCCAAGTAATGAACGAAATGAGCGCCTCCAAGTGGCGCAAAAATGTCTGTCTGTGGCACAGGCATGATGGCATTCGATGAATGCAACCGCCAGACGCATTTTTCACGCCCCGTTGAATTTCTCACACTCGACTCGGCTTTAAGGCTCTCCATCGCCATCTGTGTAGATACATTGTGGCCGTATTCAATGTTCAATGCCTCCATCCTTCCCCCCATTGGAGGGGATGGTGGGGTGTACTCGTAATTGGAATCCAAAGGAAACTTGAACTCATTTACGGTGGTGCCAACTAACGGTGGTGCCACAAGCCACATGCCACACGCACTCCATTGATCGTTGCAATCGTCACCAGAGCAAACAGTGCGTTTCACGGATGTAAGAGCTGTGGCCTCAATCAAAATTTGCCATTTGGTACCTTTCTCCGTCTTAGGAAACGGACTTTATAACTGCTACGTAGTTTTCCTCGATAAATAATCGACAAGTGACCCGAATATCGGTAATGTTCATTAAATTATTGATTCCAAAAAACGAATATCGATTATCGATATTTTTAGTTCGATAACTAATCGTTGGAGATATTTAAATGTTCCATATTCATTCTAAATAGCATTCCATTAATATATGCTCGATTTGCTCCGATGTAACTTTAATCGATAAGTGACTCGATTATTTGGCTGTGTCAATATTTTTCGCCAACTGACTGTTCGACAGCTAACCGTCATAATTATCATTACATAACTATGATTGTTATCGATTAACGATATTTTTAATTCGATAACTAGTCGTTTGAGATCTTTAAATGTGCCGATATGTTTGATTTCCTTCGATTAATCGAACCTTACAACTGGTGGCATATCCAACCCTATTGAACACTTTTGAAACGCACTGTGGACACATATTTCAAATTCCTGCTCGCATTATTAACCCATTAAAAAGTGCTGCTGCCACAGACACAGACACATACGAATATGTAACAACAATAGTAAAAAAAAAAAAAAGATTGCTCACACGTCAGTTATTGCTATTGTGATAGCGGCCCGTAATCATCAGCTTTAGCCTTAGCTTCAGCTTCAGCTTCAGATTCATGCTCATCATTATCATCAGCGTTCGCATTTCTTTAAAATACATAGCTCTTTGGAATAGCTCCCCGACTCCGACTCCGACTCCGACCCCAGCTCCGACTCCGAATCTCTGTCTCGACATCGCAGCCGCCGGCAATAGTCAAGGTTAACATGTTTGCCATTTAAGCAACGGGCGTTTACCCAATGTCTGCGATCTCTGCGTTGAGATGAGACCAAAGATCGCGTGTGATCTCGCTACCTACTACTCGTACAACGGCCACCGTCACGTCACCGTCTCCGTCTACGTACAGTCGACAGTGACAATCGTCAGTTTTCTACACGATCTTCGGCGATCAATGATCAATGATCAGTGATCAGATTAAGTTTGAGATATACACAGGAAAGTGCCTCAGTTTGAGGGTTACTAAGATCAAATTGTGTATCCTTTGTTTTTCCATTTTCCAATGGTCTTTATCTCATCCTTGACCTTTCATTACGTGTATTTATAGCACTTTAATTGTAAGATAAATATTGGTATGGTAACATACGAATGTTCTCCGGAATTAGAGCCCCAATAATAGCACAAAGTGCCATAAAGATTAATCAAATCTTCGGCTATTTCGTACGTCAAAATACTGTGATAAAAATTGAAGAATGATAAGGAAATTTAAGGACTTTAGGCCAATTTCAGACAGTTACAAAACCATATACTATAAATATATATATGCAAATCTGTTGGATATCTGTTGGATATTGTTAAAAGTTTTTCTTTTATGGCTCGTTATTATATCTGTTTTTGTGTTCGCTGGCTGGCTGTGACCTCAATGCAAGAAGAGACCCCTACTATATATACATATGTTGTGTATATATTATACAGACGAATAGTATATATTTGATTAATAAAACTCATATTAGTTTACATTAAAAGCAAGCCATAGTCGGACCATAGCCAGGGGCTGCCATATCTGCATATATCTATGGCTATGGCTATGGGCACATGGATCGAGGGGTAGCATACACGTTGTGTGTGTTGGGGGATCGGGATGGGATGTGTGTTGTGACATACGTGAGCGTGTTATGTTCGCTCACAATTAACTATCGCGATGGATGTTTTACGAGTATTATCGTTATTGTTATTGTTACTGCTATTTCTTTATTTTCTGTAGCTCTCAAAGCCAGCTTTTTTGGCCCAGAGCCTCATTAAAAATGCACAAGACCACAATTGCGAGTCGAGTGGACTCGTCGTACTTCGTAATTGCTGGGGCTGTGTGGCGCGGCTTTTGGGGGTTTTGTCTGTCTTGTGTTTTGGCAGGAAGCGCCGCATAAACCCGCGAAGGTCAACTCAAAGCCGAATAAAAAATCCACTGGCACTGCCACTGCCCCCCAGGGATGCTTTTCGATTGGAGCGATAGGATAGGTAGCCGCCTGCAATATGGGTCACCCTGTGACGTATGCCTTGTCAGAGTCGGCGGCGTATTAGGTAATCGATAAACAAATGAAATTGCGTCACTGCCAGGCGAATTCATTACCGAATAGAAAATGATAAAACTAATGCATAAATATAGACTTATCTTGACAGTTGACTGCCTGAGCGATAACTAATTAAATATATCAATATATCAATGCGTATTCCAGAAAATTCCCCTCCTGGAATCTGCGTGTCCGTTACTCTCTCGCCCATGGGAAGGGGCAGGGGAAGGGGAAGGGGCAGGGGCCCACTTCATCTGCTGCCAACCAAAATGTTGTGATTTGATTCGATTTTGTTTTATAATTTTTTGTCGGGATTGCCTCGTTTTGTGTGGATTGTAGCTTGGAGCTGATTAGATGTTAGACTTTCGACGATCTACTTCCACTTGACGACGACGACTCACAGACGCGTGAGTACAGGTGTGTGAGGGGGGGAGACAATCACGACAGTTCCTCGAGCACTAGTCCGTGGCCGTTGGTAGCTGGAGGAGGGACGAACTGGCCGACTGGCCGACTGGCCATCTTATCGGTGCCCGGTAACCAAATTTCTTTTGGGCTGTCTAGACCCCAGACCCCCAAAACGCACAAGACGATCAACGAATGGAATTGGAATTAAAGCAATCCTTTTCACAACTGATACACGAGTATTTGCATGAAGCATCTCTCGTACCATTAAAGCCATTCAAACATTGGCCGCATCACGAGTCTCGGGCGAGGGTACGGGTACATTGTTGTACCAGCATGTGTGCTCAAAGATTATCATTTAAGCTGCTGACATGCGTTTGTCCCGCTTATTTGCCTAAGCAATCTTATCGGTAGACGTATGTATTTTTTAAGTGGTTTTTGGCCAGGCTAAGATCTGCCGCATGTGGAGAGATTACTCATGCGAAAGGAATATCCCCAACGATGATAGTGGGATAAAACTAGCACTAGAACTAGAATAATGATCGTCTCCCCTCTGGTGGATGGGGCACACCTTTTCGCATGCTTCATCGTGTTTATGTTTTAATCAGATGTACATACATATGTATGTACATACTTGATATTTATGTACATATTTGATATTTCAAGGCTGTTTGGAGAGTTTGGCGCGTGCGTTAAGCCGATGCGCACTCAAAGGCAGCGGCGATAAAGCGATGGTATAGGGCCCCAACGCTCCACTACTCGGCCATCACCATAAAAGTGTCAAATTTTGTTGAAGCTTTCGGAAGCTCTCGGCAGCAGCTAATTGCTGGCTTGTGGGCCAGATGGCCGGACCATTCGGACCGGGCCTGTCCCAAAGAGGTTGTTGGCCACGCCCTATCTAATCGGCAGCCACGCACAAAGCACTCCAAATACAGACGTGATGAACATACACATGTACTCGCATGTAAACCATATATCGAGCCATTCAATTCGACTCGATACGATATCATTTCTCCCAGAAGCAAACGATGACGATGATTGGATGAGATTCTGTGTGCAGCTCACGTCTAGGTGCTTAGCGTGCTCCGGGGCAGCGTCCTTCGGGTCGGCCGAAGTCAACAAACCCACCTCGTCGCCATATGATTTATCTATGCGCGTATTGAAAGTCAATTGGTGCCTCCCTCGCGTCCACACATCTATTCATCTACCTTGGGTAGTATTTGCTCTGGGGCCAGAACTTCCCGTCTCTGGAAAGATGAGACAAGCTCGCGTATAGATATTAAGGAAATGCACGCTCGCGAACGAGCACTTTCCAGGCTTTTCTCTCTGTAGTTTGTACAAGGAAGCTTAGAGGCTGGCGGCTAATGAGTGCAGGAAATACGTTCGTCGCAAGTGCAATGCAAACCGATAGATAAGAAAGTTTTGGGGGACGTTTGAGGCGTCACAAGACCCGCTGACTGTCCGAGTGACGGAGTGACAGCTTGACAGACGACACCTGATGACAGATTGCTGTATTTGACAGATCTGCGCAATCGAAAGTCGTTACCCGTGAATGGGAAATTTCGAATAATCGGATTAGTGGTACAATATAATCATTACTGAGCATTTGGCTTATGCAGGTGTAACTATGTGATTTTCGATAATCGATAAATATCGATATACATAAAATTCGATTTATTTGACGGTATTTTAACATTTTGGCATCGTTCATCTCAGCCCCAACCCCTTTCGTAGTCGAACCCCACCTCTCCACCTCCCCACAACAACAGCACCAGCACCCACTTATCTCTCTGACAACAGGTCAAGCCAGCTTCCCAGCCAGGTTCTACGCGTGTGCCCAGCCCCCAAAAAAAAAAATGTGTTTCCGTCGCTTGGCAACAGCACTCCGCCCCACAATAGCACCAGCCCCAGGCCTGCCCAATAAAACCACCTGACCCCACACCATCACACCACCCCCCACCCCCCTAGGCTACCCAACAGACGAACAAGCGACAGCCGACCAGCAGCTTTTATTTGGCTTAATGGAAATGATGGAATGATGATGAGCTAAACGCGGAAGCCGACGACACAGCGTCTCGCATAGAACGTCGTGGAACGTAGAACGTAGAAAGAACTCTTAATAGGCGAAGGAGAGTGGGGAAGGGGGAGGGGAAAGGGATCATAATATCAGAAAATGTGTATAATTGTCATTCCCAGCGACACAAACACACACACAGCACCGCACTCTTCCGAAAGCTGAAAAACCCGAAATAAGAACCGCCGCACATGCCTCAATTTCCAGTCGTGCGTAACCGTAACCGTAACCCCTTCCCCTGCGCCTTACCCTTTCATAAATCAAAAATCCACACACGCGAAAACCTAAAACAAATACCAGAAACAAAAACAAAAATAATAACAAAAAGGGAAACGAAATGAAAACGAAAAGAGAAAGAGATAGAGATAGAGACGGAGTGCGAGTGGAAGGGGGAGGGGAGAGAAACGAAAAAGCACGTGGCGACGGTAGATGTAGATAAGCCTCTCACATACCCCCCCCCGCATGCGATAGAAGCTCGTGTTTGGCTTCGTGATCGCGATCGTGCTCGGGCTTCGGGCTGTGCGTGATGGAGTGTTCATGTGTGTGTGTGTGTGTGTGTATGTGTGCGTGGGAGCTTGCTGGTTCCTTTCAGTACTCCCCCTTCCCTCTTTTCTTATATTAATTCAAATTTAAATTAATTTTGCCTTTGCATCGCTTTCGTTGCAGACAAATTCCTGGGCAAGCACAATCCGGCCCACCGCAACAGCACCAGCAGTGAGACAGCTAGCGAGGACATCTGCTCCAGCCGCGAGCAGATCCACAAGCCCAAGGGCGGCCACAGCAATGCCCCAAACGGTGGCAGCAATAGCAACAAGTCGCACTCGAAGCGCCAGCAGAAGCAGCAGCAGCAGCAGGACCAGCAGCAGACCCAGAATGGACACGGCAAGGCAGCAGCCGCTGCAGGTGCAGCTGGGTTCCACAAGGCCAAGCAGCAGGCAGGTGGAAAGTGGCGCCAGCAGCAGCAGCAGCAGCAGCCCCAGCAGCAGTCGCAACAGTTGCAACAGCAGAAGCGTGGCAGCAACAACAAGAAGCAGCAGCAGGGCAACAGCAAGTGGGGCAACAACAGCAACAGCAACGGTGGTGGTGGCAGGAACAACTGCCACAGCAACATGAGCAAATCGAACGGCAACAACAATCGCAATGTGGCCAAGAACCTGGCCAATTCCTGTGGCAGCAGCAGCTTCTCGTCCTCCTCGTCGGCCCTAAGCTCCTCTGCTGGCAGCTCGCCGAACAGCTCCCCGTACGCCAATGGCAACCGCAAGCAAGGTGGCAGTGGCGGCGATCAGTGGCGCCACTGCAAGAATATCCTGCAGCAGGGCAAGGTGAACGTGAACTTCCTGGTGCCGCCGCTGCGCCAGCGCGAGCAATTGAAAATGGACGACGAGGAGGTGATCAAGCGCCTGCGCCCCCATTTGGTTGACCGCCACCTGCTGCGGGTGTACGGCTTCCCCGTCGACAGCGTGGTGCACGAGGGCGCCGTCGAGATCTTCAAGTGCATGCCGAACATGAATATGGCCGCCGCTCGCGTGATGTCCCTGACTCTGGAGCGGGAAATGCTGTACCGCGAACAGGGGCCGCCACCCGTTATCAACTACGATGACGGCCTGCCGACGGAGGAGTCCCAACGAGCAGCTTCCGCCCTACAGATGGGCATAGGGACTGGGGCCAACCAAACCTTCACATTTTCGACAGACTCCGGCAACAGTTCGCCGAGCTCCCTGGACTCCGAGTCCGGCGAGTGGAGCGGCAGCGAGTCCTCCGAGTCGTCTGCGGGAGCTAGCAGGCCGGAGATGCAGTACTATCAGTACGCCAACAGTGTCCACGCCCATGTGGACCGCAGCCTGGCGAAGCCATGCGCCCGCTGCAAGCGCCACTTCCTGGTCGATGAGATGACCGGCGAGTATCTGACGCGCGAGGAGTGCGTCTACCACGAGGGCAAGTACAATCGCTTCTACGACGGTACCTACATTGGTCGCTGGACCTGCTGCAATGCCACCGACGAGGCAGCCGAGGGCTGCGTCCAGGGCGAGCTCCATGTGTGGACTGGCTCTGCGGTGGGCGTCAACGGACCCTACTACGACTACGTGCGCACCCAACCAGCCCCGGGGCGCTACAACATGGGGCACACACCCTCCGTGTATGCCCTCGACTGCGAGATGAGCTACACGGGCCGTGGCCTCGATGTGACCAAAGTATCGCTGGTGGCCCTCAACGGGCAGCTGGTGTACGAGCACTTTGTGCGCCCCGACTGCGACATCATTGACTACAACACACGCTACTCCGGCATCACGGAGCAGGATCTCCGCTCGGACAGTGTCAAGACCCTCGCCGAGGTGCAGCGCGACCTGCTGCAGCTGATCAACGACGACACCATTCTGATCGGCCATGCCCTGGACAACGATCTGCGCGCCTTGCGCATCGTCCACCACACACTGATCGACACCTCGATCACGTTTCCCCACGGCAGCGGATTTCCCTTCCGCCGGGCCCTGCGCCTCCTCACCAAGTTCCATCTGCACCGCGAGATCCAGTGCGGTGAGGGGACGACGGGACACAGCAGCTTCGAGGATTCGCGCGCCTGCATGGACCTCATGCTATGGCGTGTGCGTCGCGAGCTGGACCCCACATGGCGCTGGCAGGGATAGGTTCCAGGTTCGAGGAACGAGGAGCGAACATGCGCACATTGGGGACGAGTGCACATGCATATTGTTGGGCGGGTTGTTTTAGTTACATATAGTTATTATAATATTGGGATGGGTTTCTGGGCTGGGGCTTAGGCCCTGCGGTGGCTCCACGGGGGACGGGGCCCACCGCTTAGATGTATTGTATTCAAATCTCAGAAGTGTTTTCGAAACACGGCAGCGAACGGCAGCTGCCGCCGACGCTGACAGCATTGCCGACGAAATGTTTCACAAATCAAATTCAAACAAATGATCGACACAAAACGTTGTTGCATAAAATAAAGGCAAAAAACTATATTTTATTTGCTATAAAGAGAAGGATAGAACTTTAATCAACACATGTGTATAAACACATATTGTTTTTTTTTTTCTATTATTTAATTCTTTTTTTCGAACCACAAGAAAATGTACTGAAGTTTTAGCTGTGATGTTTTTTTTCACTTTCTCACATATTTACACGACAAACAAAACAAAAACAAAACAAAAACAAAAAAAAAACAAAAAAAACACCAAAAAAAATGAAAAGAAAATACAAAAAAGATATATACGTAGATTTCTAGAGAGGAAGGATAATCGAAATGCCTTTCATATTTTTTTGACCAAAACTTTCGACAAAAAATCACTCCATTTATCACGATTTACTTTTAGTTTCGTTTTCTTAACCATTATTATTTTTATAATTTTTTTTTTATATTTTATTTTATTTTTTATTCGACCAAAAGTACGAATGAAGGAAGCATCTCATATGTCAAAAAAACGCGACGGAAGGAAAGTTGAAAACTTTCAAAATTTAACTACTTTATACACTATGCATAAATGTAGGTTAGGTTCTGCCCCTGCCCGCCCGCCCCCCACCCCTCCAACAACTAAACGTAGCTCTTTAGTCTATATTTTTTGTCCCCCTTTGTTCTTTCTGTTTGTCAAGGATTACATATAAATATTTATTTAAAGATATCGCGCACACACACCCACACACACACACAAATGTTCATTGAAGATTCTTCGAGTGTATGATTTTTCACATTGAACTTCGAACTTCTCCATTTTAGGCTTAAGAGTCCCAGCAAGTAATTAAATTTGGTTCTCTGACCAAATCCAAATCCAAAAAGAAATACAAATATATCTATGACATTGAGCGATTACTCCTCTTCGCCGGTGCCCCCCCTTGGGCGTGTGTTGTGGGGTGGAGCGGAGTGGCACTCGAGGAATGCAGTTCTTTATTCCTCATTCGATTCGACAATTGATGTTCCTACTTAGAGTAGTGGCAAGAGCACGCACAGAATGCAACAATTTTAGTTTGAGTGTATTTTTAAATGCATAATTATTAAAAAGGAAAAGAAAAGGGCAGTGGAAACCGAAACGGAAAAGATACAAATGCGACTGCACTCTGCACGAAAAAGCAAAGGAATAAATTGAGCGATTTAACGATTGAACCACAATAAAAGAAACATTGATTTGTTTACAACTAAATACCACTCTAAAAGCAATTATCGTTCTTATTAAACGGGCGTGGGTTGGGCGTTCATTTTCAGAGATTTCAGGAATGGAACACAGATCTAATACGAGATCTTTGCTGGAGGAAGATTAACCTACGGCTGAATCACTTATTACTCATCATGTGAAGGGTGTATCCTATATAATATACCTAGATGATGACTACTTACTTGGCTCCCACTTTTCTTTCTACAATCTTAATTTAGCCGAATGTATGGGTATGCATTTACCTTCGACGGGCAGCAGCAGGTGGGTTTTACTATAGAGTACATACGTAATACGTATGTACTGTTTACCATTTGTCACCTTAGCCAAACGATCAAGATCAAACCCCAACCATATGTCTGTCTCTTGGCCCTGCAGTTGGAGGTCAATGCATTGCAGATGCAAACGGCGGAGGATGGGGGTTGGGTATGGGCTCGGGGCTCGGGGCTTCTGCATTTGGGATTTTCAGCCAGTTTGCGGAAGCAGCGCTGCGTTGGAGGGCTGGTGTATGATCAGCCGAGGGCATGTTTGTGCACCACTACTCGTCTCGTATACTCGGATTGTTTACCCAACTAAGTAAGCATAAAGTGCTAAAACGAGACCCAGGCACAGTCAGAGAGCCAGAGCCAGGCATCTGCGTCGCAGAAACTATCGAGGCTTACATCGTATCGTGGTGCTGTGCGGCCCAACAGCTGTTCCGTGTACGGTGTACGGAGGAGAGCATCTGATTGCCCAGATTGCAAACGGCGGCATGGCTGGCAAAGGTTATCGCCGTGTGTCTGACGTCAATTTTGCCATCTTTGGCCCTCGAATGAGTGCAAAGCGAGCCATCATCATCAGGCAACAAGCCCCACTCGTGTGTGTGTCTTCGAGGTAAAGGCGAAGAAGCAGTGAAAGTAGAAAGTGATTCAAGAGGTGGCGGCATGTTAATGGTGCTGATCCCATACCGGTGCCGATGCCGATGCCGATGCCGAGCCCGATGCTGATGCTGATGACGAAATCCGAAATGGGTTGACATACTTTAAGCAGAGCGCAGCACGCAGCACGCAGCACACCCACGGCTTTCTTCCTCTTGCCCAAAGTTTGATCAAAGCTGTGTGAATTACAGCATTGTGCTCGATTTTTAATCGATTTCATTTCTTGCCTGTCAGGGGGTAGCGGCAGAGGAATGCTTTTGCGGTTGATCCAATCCGAACGGATCTGATACGATCCGACTATCATTTGACGGATGAAGGCGATCGACTAAATATAAATTGAATGTTCGTGTTTGGCACATTTGTGCGAGAAATCGCATCAATTGTTTTAATTGTCTGGTATATAGAAAAACATTGGGATGTGTTAGCGCTACTATATACATGCACACATACCTACATATGTATGTATACCTAAATATGTGCATAGGTATACGTATAGTGTAGAATCGCTTCTGCTGGTGCTGATGCTGGTGTGTGCAGCGCACGAGAATCGAACCAAATCTATAACAAAGCATTCTGTCAGCAGCCACAGGTATTACTAGGTACTATTATGCAATCACACACACACAAACACACACAGAGCGCGAATCTGTTGGGAGAATCAATTGGTCTCCCCTTAATAATGGCATGCAAAAGCTGATTGAATTTCGATATATTCACTGATTACAGCAGAAGACATTCAAGCCGAGAGAGACCGAGAGGTGGTGCCGCATAACGCGCGACACGACACATCTTTTGATGTAGATCTTGGCTCCATCCCACACCCAAGCCTTGGGAGATCCCACAAGTATGTATGCCATGAGACACCTGTGTAGTCCCCACATTTGCCAATGAACCAATGAACCATGTGGTCAAATGATTCATCGATATATTTATGCAGATTCAACTGGTGTAATAGTCCCAATCCGTTTTAAAATTAACCAAAAAAGGCAAATCAACCGAAACCGAATCCGAGTCACCGATGATGATTCACTCGCGTCAGCATTTCTCGTAAGAAGTCGGCGTGGCGTCACAAATATATATTTATACTTATGCAAACATTTTATTTATTCGGCGTCACCTGCTGATCCCCCTCTGAGTCCCCGTTCCTGTCCTGGGGGTCTATCACAGAGATATAGAACAGAGAAATTGTAAATTAATGATTAATGTGGAGCTCGTAGGAGACATAGGGAATATTCCAGGCAACCCCATAACTATCTGACCATTCTCATATACGGGTCTGATTGGATACTCATTTCCTATAAATAAATATCGATGGAACAAATTTTTTGTTTCAGAAAGGCTCTAAGCAAACACATGACCCAGCAGACCCAGCGCAACGTTGCATTTTTCGATAAGTGCGTCACGATTAATACATAGGTGCCGCGTCGATCACCGATGACCGATAGAAGTGCATGGATTCAGAATGGAGCCATAGCCATAGCCAGAAACGGAGTCCGATACAGATACAACGAAACAGTTAAAAAAATGTCGTCATTTCATTTGGACACATCAGAGCATAAGGCGATGACGTGATGGCGCTGCTGGCACGAAACTTGGCCAAAGAATTTTGTTGGGGAGCGCGGGCTCCCCATGACATAATTACCCCAAAACGGAGCCATATGTAAGATGATACTAGTACGAGTATACCCCCCATATTTGGGAATGTGTGGAGAAGCTGCAAATTGCTTTCCATTTCCGTTGCCAGACGCATTTGGTGGCAAGCTGAATTGGCCCCCGGACTGCAATTGTTTCGCCGTCCCCGTCCCAATGGCAATTGAGAATGCGATTGGCAGTGAAAATGAAAATTCAAATGCAAATGCCTGTTGCATGTCCATTCGTTCAATTGAGCCATTCTTTAGAATCTTATATTTGAGATTTCAGCATAACCAGAAGTAAGCTCACATTTGCACGCACTGAAGTACAAGATACTTGAAGATACTTTCATATTTTATCAATCAGTTTCATTAATCAATTTCCCATTAACGATTAACGATTATCAGATTATTTTCCTTTATTTTCCGCTCACCGCTTGGATCGCATTTTGTCCGGGTCTGTACGAAATGCAGCAAGACATAAGAGAAATTTTCACTTTGGATTTGGAATTTCTTTTCGGATGCGTTTCGAGCATCATGAATCATTATTGCTGTCTCTCCCTCTCTCTCTATCTCTGTCTCTCACTTTCGCCATGTACTCGGAATGTGATTGAGGAAAGAAAGGGAAAGGCCATTGGATCCAGATACGTTCGCTCTCTCTGTGAGAGTGATGCATGATGCTTCTGATACTCTTGTTGCTATGCCATCCGTAAGCATAAGATTTTCCACCGCAGGGTAGCCAAAGCTCTGACCCCAGTTTCGTTTCATCATAGAGAACCAGAGTGCAGCGGAGAGGGAGAGAGGCACTGTACAGCAGAGCAGGCCAGAGCAGAGCAGAGCAGAGCAGAGCAGAGCAGAGCAGTGCCCTAGCCGATCGATTAGCTGAACGGTTAATTCAAGTTGAAGGCCTTTGGCGCGTCATGCGAGTGCTGCTGGTATGCTCGTGCATGTGGCTAAACAAACGCACCTTGGCGGCCAATTTCATTTGGGTTTTGTTCATTTTTCATTCTGTTGTTTCAGGCCTGCGTACGAGTATTTACCTTGCATGGCCGCAGCTTTTCGACGGCACGACACCCACACTGAGCAGAGGCAGGGGTACGCAGTACAGATACTGACACAGAAGACAGTGGCCTCCTCGGAGCCACAGACTCTGATCAGATCTGCTCTGCCTCATCCTACACGTTGGACGTCGTCGTCTGTGGATCGACAGTGCCCCTTATGACGGTTGGTGAAAGTTCAAGGCTGTTTTCCGTGGGCTTTGCAACAAGTAAACATTGAAATACAATCATGATTATGGAGAACATACCAGCACACCAGCAGATGATAAGAAACAAGTCGCAGATCCATCCCACCAAAAGTGATCTGTGGGATATCCATATCTTATCACCAGCCGATCCACAGACACCCATAGAACAGTACATTTTCTTTCTAATTAGTGCCTTATTTCGGGGCCATTAGGGGGCTCCTTTCTCTATTTTAACGTTGGGGATCAAAACAGCTGGAAACAGTTGGAAATCGCTAGACAGCAAGCCAAGCGAAAAAACTCAACAAACTGTGGCGTCGTGTAATATTTGAGGGCACAGGAAATTTCGAAAAAAAATTGATCAATATATCCTTGACTTGGAACTTCAGCCAAAACCTTTTTACGACTGTAGGCTCGACTCTAAATTTCTCATTCTTGCATAGGACTTCCTACTGACTAGAAACAAGTAATTTACAAAAAATTTCCAAAAAATTTCCAAAAGAAAATAGTTGAAAAAAAAAAACCAACTTTCGAAACGAACTACGTATTTTGACGGTAATTTCGAATCATCGCTATAAACCGAAAATGGCGATGATACTTCAGGGCCTCCAGCGCCTGACGGCTGTTAAGTTGGAGAAGTGGCAGATCGGCGTTATCTGCAGCACGCCATTCGTGATCGGGCTCATGACTATCGGAGCTAGGAAAATACTCGCCGCGAAGTCTACGCCGGCCCAGAAGCTAGCTCTGTCCAAGGAGGCCATGATCCACGCGGCGGCGGGCAAGACTTGTTATCGCAACGAGAAGTACAAGGATGCTGTGCTGTGCTACGGCAAGGCGCTCGATAAGTGCCCGAAGGACCAGCACACCAACATGGCAATGCTGCTGCATAGTCGAGCGGAGGCATATGAGATGCTGCACAAGTGGGACAAGGTTCTGGAGGACTGTACCGAGTCGTTGGCGTACTGTCCTCATTACTTCAAGGCCTACGCGCGTCGGGCCCGCGCTCACGAGGCTCTGAACAACATCACGGACAGCTTAGACGACATTACGGCTTGCTGCATCCTGGAGCTGTTCCAGAACAATCACAGCATTGTGTTTGCCGATCGCATACTCCAGCTGACGGGACGTGCAGACGCCGTTGAGGAACTGGCCAGCCGGGCACCGATTGTGCCTTCGTTGTTCTGCTTCGACTCCTACATGCGCCCGTTCTTTGCCGATCCACTGCAGACTATCAACGTGCCGCCGCGCTCCTTGGTGAAGACGCCCAACGCCTTCGTGCGCGCATACTGGGCGTTGCGCGACCGGCACTTCGACGAAATTATCCCAGCCTGCACGGAGGAAATCGAGTCCCCCGAGTCCTCCGGCTACCGGCTCGAGGCCCTGCTGATGCGCGGCACGTTCTATCTGCTTTCCAACGCGTTCAAGGAGAGCAAGCACGACTTTGGGGCCATCATCGACAACCCTAACGCCGGTGCCACACTCTGTGCGTATGCCTATATGCGTCGTGCCACTGTCAACTACTACATGAATGACAAGGCGGCTGCCGTAGCCGACTTTGATGCGGCGGAGAAGATCCAACCCTCAAACCCTGATGTGTACTTTCAGCGTGCTCTCACTCAACTGCCCCTGGATCCGGCTGAGGCGCTCACGCAGTTAAAGAAGACGGTGGCCCTGGCACCAAGGCACGCTGTGGCTGTTATCAACATGTACTATGCCGACTACCGTGCCTCCATCATCGCGGGTGCCCTCAGCAAGAAACGCATGGAGGTCGTGATGCGCAGCTTTGAGGAGACCATCATGGAGTTTCCCCATTGCGTCGAATGCTACAACTTGATGGCCCAAATGCTGGTCGACCGTCAGGACTTTCCCAAGGCCCAGGAATACTTCGTGAAGGCTCTGGAATTGGAGCCCTCCAATTCGTCCGTGATTGTGCAGCATGCGCTCATGGTCCTGCAGTGGCGTGGGGACAAGGAGATGGCTTCAGAAATGCTCAAGCAGGCAATCGCGGCTAACCCCCACTGCCAGCAGGCGTACGAGACTCTAGGCACCATCGAGGTGCAGCGGGCGCACCTAAAGGAAGCTGTTGAGCTGTTCGACCAGGCCATACGTTGCTGCAAGAGCTATGATGACCTAACGCATGCCTTTGCCCTACGCAATGCCTCCCAGGCTCAGATCAATGTCACCGAAAAACTGGGCATCGACATCAAGGGCATGAACGAATCGGTCCAACAGCACCTCTCGAGCCTCGACTAGGAGTTCTCGTTATTCGTTCGCCCAAACAATTGTTCTCTAGTTACTTATGTCCAATTATTTTTGTTATATTTTATACATACATTTGTGCAATTAAAAAGCCCGTTTCATTCGCGCCAAACCATTCCCTGGGGCCGAGCCTGGAATCGAATGCCTTTGCTAACGGAGCACTTGCCGAAAATATTTAAGGATGCACTTCATTGCATCACCGCACTCGCGACTAGCTGAAATATAATCAATATTTTACAGTGCAATTCAAAGCACGAACGAACCCGTTTATGGAACCAGCCAAACTCCCCATCCTCCTACTACTCCTCCTCCTCTTCCTGGCGGTGCAATTTGGGACCAGTCGCTGGCTAGAGAAGATTTTCGGCTGCATTCGTGTCAAAATTTGTGTGTGCATCAGGCGCGTGTTACTGTGATGGACAGGGGGCGCCATGTTGTCATACTACTTTCAAAATACATATTATAGAAAAAAAAAAAACGATGCTCGTGGGCTGTGGAATTTACGGCAATTTGTCTGGTGGCACTGCGAGCTTGTGGCTTTCTGCTTACTGCTTGTTGCCTGTTGCCTGATGCCTATTGCATGTTGCATGACAACAATGTATCATATTTTTTCGGTTCGTTCATTACATGACGTGGGCGGCTCTGCATTTCCTCAACGACTGAACACTGACGATCTCAACCCGGAAAAGGAAAGCGCAGTTCATGATTGCTACGAGTACTCGTATGATTGAGTAATTATGGTGTTGGCGGCGATACCAAATAGAGGTAGCCAAGGAAGGAGGGTCCGCTTGGCATAATTAATGTGGTCTTTTAAATTTCAACTAGGGTTTAACCACAGCATAGAATTGTATCATTTTCAATTGGAAGCGTAGTTTCATAGTTTTAATTGCTATTGCACCAGCAGGTAAATGTAAATAGTTGCCAAAAGTGGCGACCGTGGGTTACACATGATTATTTATCTGATCGATTTAGATATATGTATATGCGTATGTGTGTATATGTGTGTGTATATGCATATAGGATTGTATGCGTACTCAATTTAAGGCTTAGTCGTGAAAAGTTCTTTCTATATACATAAGATGTGGGTTAACTTGCAACTACTCGTAACTTTGGTGATTAATGCGAATTTATAAAAAAAAACCATAATGATAACAAGAAAAAGAAATGAAGACAGCCAGAACTGGCATTGAAACACGTTAACTAGAGCGCGAGGCACGTAAGCGATTTATCCTCAGTAGCAGCAGAGTCCCGTATGCGACTCCTAGAACAAGCGCAATTTGGAAGACTTGACTTGGCCTGAGAATGACGAATGACGAATGACGAATGTTGCTCGTCCACCCTCTAGCTAATCGCTGGTCGGGACAGATGTGTGCTGCTTGTAAATGACGCCAGTAATCTCCCCATTCCTCTGGATGACGCAGCGCCTGTTCCACGGGGACGGGGGAGAAGTCGGTTAAGTGCCAGAGGCAAGGGGTCAATCACTTACCTATTTCCACTGTATAGGCAGATGGTTGGATGACGTGCCTCTGGTTGAGCCACCGCATTCCTTGGCTCCAGACCCGCCACCTGATCAGATATGGCCATGCCGATGCCAGAGACATTCGGGTTTATATCGCCTTTGGCTGCAAGGCATTGCTCGTTATTGGCCTAGCACAACTATTTTCACATGCTCATCCATTGGGGATATCTACTCACCGCCCAAGCAGAGCCCTTGACGATTCGCCAGCAGAGCGCCCACCGTGTCCGGTTGTGTGACGCTGCAAAAGTGGGTTTTTAATACGTTATTGGTATTATCGAGATGCCATACATATCGCTCAAGACTTTCTCCAGTTGGGTCTCCATGGGCTACACTTAAATTTTACGTTTTTGGCGAAATTAATTACAAAAAAACAAAGCAAAAACCAAAACAATGATTGGGATAGTGTGACCGCGGACTTATTGATAAGATATACGGTCTGACCCTCAAAAATATACCAAAATATTCCGTCTCATTAAATATACCTTTAAAAATTAAATTTAGTAGATAAAATTGATCAAATATACCATTATATTCCGATATACCGTAAATATACCTTCAACTCAATTTCAACGTAAAAAAACAGTATATAATACACCGTAGATGAAAGGGGTATGGACAATTGGAAAAACGGCCGAGAAAATGCAACGCACGCAAGTTAAAATTCACCCTTTTGCCTAACATACCATGGAGGGAAGGTTATACAATATCCCCGCTAGGAAATTTTACAGAAAAAAGAAGGCACGGTAAAATCTACCTCATTTGCCTAATATACCATGAAGCCAAAAATAGGTCCGCCCACATGGCATATTGTTGATCAAAAATAGCGAGGTGAGGTTCGTACGAGCCTGGCCATTTCCCTTGGCTGTTTTTGCCTGTTGTCCATATCTAATCATATATGAAAAATGTTTGATCTTTATGTCAGTTTGTTCACGAATTGGCATTCGATGTGCGCTGGGACATCTTAATGACGTCTTAAAAGTACTACAAAATAATAAAAATATCGATTAGCAACAAATATTAGGGGATTAGGGGACAAATATCGAACGCAACTTCAACGACTCGTCGTCTCCTCTCCAGTGGTACGCGGATAAGTGGGAGCACAAAATACATACCTTACCATACCTAAGTATGACCCTGCAGCTTCAGTCTGGTGTGACCATCAATTATCGATAAGGAAGACGCAGAAGGGAAGGCAACAAAAACAGAGAAACAAAACCCGTCGCGAGCAGCAGGAGCAGTGCACACTCCATACACATTCACAATAAAGAGATCAAGAATCGGCAACAGGATGAACAACGGCTTCAGCACCGGTGAGGAGGACTCCCGTGGCCACGCAGACCAGACCTGCTGCCTGATTGACGACATGGAAAGGTGTCGCAATCAGGCCGGCTACGCCAGCTACAGCAAACGCATCCAGAAGACTGTGGCCCAGAAGCGCCTGAGGCTGAGCAGTGACCCAAGTGCCCAGCACATCTACATCTGTGACCACCACAAGGAGCGCATACAGTCGGTACGGACCAAGCGACGACGCAAGGACAGCGAAGACGATAGCAATGAGACGGACACTGATTTGCACGAGTTTCCTGATCTCTACCAGCTGAGCGTTAGCACACTGCGTCGCTATAAGCGCCACTTTAAGGTCCAGACACGGCAGGGCATGAAGCGGGCACAATTGGCAGATGTAAGTCGAGATCTAATGAAAGTGTTTTGTTGAATTTTACTAGATATATTGTGTTCTATTTCCTTTCCTATGTGTGTGCAGACCATCATGAAACATTTCAAGACAATACCCATCAAGGAAAAGGAGATAATCACGTTTTTTGTGTATATGGTGAAAATGGGGACAAATAAGTTGGATCAAAAGAATGGCATTGGCAATGATACCACCTAAATTGGATGTAAAGGACACAAGGGGAGGGAGGATGCTACAGCTGCCGGCTCTTAAAGCAAGCTAGCTATCTCCCTTCCACAACATCCAAACACACCCACACATATACAGACAGCACACATACACATTGTTGCTGCGTTTGCTTTCGTCATCATTCGTTCTCCTGACGTCAGCATTGTTCACTTCTAATAGCAATAATGTCCCACAATCCTGTACTGTGCCCATGCCTACCAGCAATCTTCCTACATCCCAACAAAAATCAGAAGATAAATATACATCTAATTGTAGAATAAAGAATGTAATATAAATTTACATCTAAAGAAATTAAGTAAACAAGCAAACAGCAACTGGTGCTCCCAAAACAAGAATTATATGATGTATGTATTGTAGTTTAAAGCCAAGAAAGGAGAGGAGATTGGTAATCGCGAAAGAAGAATAATTAACACTAAGATGAATGAATTTTTACAACTTTATTGTAGCATTTGTCCGTTGTTAATAGCTCTTTATATACATAATAGATATACCTAAAATCTAAAACATTAAACCAACGCACGAATAAACCATGTACATTTTACAAAAACAAACAGCAAAACCAATTGAACGAAACGGAAATCAAAAAGCGAACTCTTATTCCATGATTTCCGTGGTCAGCGACAAGCACGAATTGTGTTCACTTTTAAGCGTTAAGCCGGGGCTGGCCCACCTTGGAAAGAAGTTAAATCAATCCTATAGTCGAAATAAGTGAAACGAATTAGTTTTCTTTTAATTGAAGTTCGTTCTACTGGTTGTATGTCTTGCAATACTCGAACAGACAACCGCGATCTTCTGCCTGGGGCTGTGGCTTCCCCTGCCCCACCACGTAATGCTAGTTTAAGCTTAAATAAGATGTATATCAGTGGGCGCTGACAAACTGAACGAATTGTGTTAAGGTCTAGACTGATTTTAGCCATACAATTATTAAGCTTAAGTAAACATTAATGGAAAGCCTGTCTAACCTATTAATTTATAGATTTATTATACATAAATTGTTTACAAATAGATGACTTGCTTCGCTTTCCTTTTCCTCCGTACCGCCCTAGAAACCATTCCTTTTTTAGGAGGAACTCTGTTACTGCTTCTTTTTGTTGCCCTTGTTGCGCTTACGCTTGGGTTTGCCAGGGCTCTGCTTTGTCGGATCTATTGTGGGTTCAGGCTCCTGCGGCAGCCAGCCGCTGTCGTCCATGGGTAGTTCTGAATAAAAGGAGACGCATGGGCAGAGGAACAAGGAACATTATTCAGGCAGGACTTACCCTCTTCCTGTGCTGGTTGATCGCTTTCGACGTTCTCGACGTTATCGGCGTTCTCCCCTTCGTCTGCTTCGAGCTTTGGATTCGGCTTGGCCTCCACTTCTAAATCCATGTCCTCTGTTTTATACTGCTGCTGTTTTTGATCCCCCTTCATGAGAGTCTTGAAGCTCAGCTTCTGTGACGAGTTTTCCATTAAACCCAGCATGCCAGTGTTTTTCTTAGTGCCCTCTAAACATTGCTGCTCATCCTGATCCAAGGCCTTTCGGACGAATGTAACCATGGCCTTGCACCGATTCGCAGCACTCCGGGCACATTGCATGATGGTGCGAACATCAGTTGGGACAGTGCCGCCAGCATTGAGGGTGCACAGCTCCTGGTAGGAGTTAAAGCTCAAAATAATAGTCGAATCGGCGGTATTCTCCTCCAGTAGCGTCGGGTCTACAAAGGGCTGAAAGTTGCTTGTGTAGATGCAGTAGGTGACGCTCACAGGATAGTGCAGAAAGAGCAGGGGTATCATATCGCGCTCCTTCTCCGTGTAGGTGCGAAGCTCACCATCGGTAAAAGTCACGTCTGGACGGCGAAAGTGCATAAGGGCAGCCAAAACGGCAACAGTGCTGGCATCTACAAAGAAAGCAAACGTTAGACGGTCGAAGGTATTCTCTATGACACTCGTCAAGCTTACCATACAGATTTCCATCGTGATTGAGAACATTGACGTCTACACGGATGCACCAGACATGCAGCTCGGAGGCCACACACAGAGACTCCAGATCCACACAACGTGAGGTGCGGAATGTCCGCTCCAGCAGCGAATTAAGCGTGAGCGAGCGCTTATCGTGCGTCTTCTGTACCGAGTCTAGGTAGGAAACGCCTGCCAGTGTTACATACAGCTGGAGCTTGCCCTCGTTCGGCCTGGACGTGGTCGGTGTGCCCATGTCGCAAGTCACCTGAGCCATTACCTTGGTATCGCCAAGCGACACGACCACCGAGCCATATTCCCCACCGAAGGTTAGTTGGACATCGCGGCTTTCGCCGGACTTGCGGCCATCGAGGCGTTGGCTCTGCTTCACCGCCTGTTGAATGAATTTACGTTCGGTCTTTGTTTTACCCGGCTCGAAAAAGCCTGTGTTCATAAACATTTTAGTTCTTGTTGATTTTTGCTCTGTTTTGGATTTGATACTGGTACGGCCGGCTTTTAAAAACGTGCAGAGATTCTGCAGAGCTGCCACCTAGTTCGATAAAATATCGACACTAAACTAGTTCATTTAAACTGGAACTATTGATCTACGAAATAATTAATGGCTGCGTTCAGTATGAACTTACAAAGTTTTAGGAATTTGAAAAATGCATGAGTTTTGTACATACATTTCTGATAAATAATGTGAAATTTTATAAAATGTATCTCTCAACAGTTCCTCTAAGCGAAAAATCATGTGGGAGAATTTTTCTTCTCTTGGCGGTCGTTTTTCCATCGTAACTTAACATAAGAGAATAATTTAACTGAATTCGCTGAAAAGAAAGGCATATAGAACCATAGAAATTTATAATATCTTAGTTCAGGGATGGGATCTAGAACTAACTGACTCGTCTAAATCGAACTAGAATGCCAACTCTGGTGAAAATATCTTGAATCAGTAGTCCGGCAGCACTGACAGCAGAGTCTCAATTCTTTTTTGAGGTGATTTACTATTCACACTCGTTTCGATGTCGAATAACACAAATACATTTTAACAAACAAATATACAAAGGCGATATACGGCACGACATCTAGTGGCGGATTGGAGGCAGTGCATCCAAGTGCGCATTCAAGTGCCCGAAGCCTGCAGTCAAGAGTGGACAATCCTCTACACACCCACACATAGAGGCAAGACTGCGTGTGTGTGAGGCGTGTGTGCTTCTGTGCGAGCATATCTCGCTCATGTGTGTGTGGTTAGTGCGTACTGTCGTCGTAGCAGAAGAGGAAGCAGCAGAAAGGAGCAGCAGACAGAAGACGCAAGTCGCGATTCCCTAGTCGCGGAGTCCAGGGCAGTAGCCGTAACTGTGACAGAAGAAAAAAACCAGCGCAGCAAAAACCACATACAACCCACACAGAAACTAACATACACACAAAAACAGTCAAAAATGCAACAGCAGCAGGAATCGGGCGGCGAGGAAAGCTGGCTCGAGGAGCAGTGTCACCATGAAATTGACGGCCAGCATGATGAATTCGAACGGGAGTATGTGCGTCAGCGTGACAACAATTTAGGCACCGTCTGGGGAGCATTCCAGGATTCGGCCACCGCTGTGGCCCAGCTCTATCGCGGTAAGTGCCGGGGAACTGGGGAACAGAACTTTGGTAACAGGGGCGTAGTACAGGCTTTCACGGTCCCCTGCAATAGAAGGATAAGCGGTGTAGCGGCGAGAGAAGGAAGCTGGGGTAAATCGCATTTCCATGGTTCAGTTTTTTTTTTTTTTTTTTTTGTGTTGGTTCTTTGTGTCTGAGTGTGTGTGTGTGTGTAAAAATAGTTTTGGGCGAGGTATTAATAGCCCAGCGCTGAAGGAAGAAGCAGCACCATCCCGGCTTTCATTTACCTTCTGCACCCGGCCCTGATCCTTTCATTAGATAAATTCTTCTCTAATTTCATAGCCTTTTCGTAATGAGCTCGCAGCTCCTTTTTTCCTGCACTATCTACGCATTATCAAAATGCAGAAAGGGCTTTGGCTTGTATTGGGTATGGGGAGAGTGGAGGCACGGTCAGAGCATTGCAATAGAATAGAGAGAGTGAGAGAGTCGGTGGCAGAGCCCCAGAGGGCGAGCGAGCGAGGGAGCGAGAGATGTAGAAGCCAAGTGCAATGGCAGCGCAGTTGGCAGCGACAGCAGCTGTGTAGAGAGGCAGAGGCGTCGCGTCTAGGAATTACATGTATATTTTGCTGATTCTAGTTATTTGTGTGCTTCTTTTTGTTGTTGCTCCGATATCCATTAATCAACATGTGCGTGCATCGTATGTACACACACGCACACACACACCTGAAACACACATCGCTGCGTCACAACAAAAACAATGACCAAACAGCTGTTTTGCTTTCGTCATTCTTTTAGTGGAGATGGGGGGGATGGCGAAAAATTAAAGAATGAAAATAGTAATGACGGCGCAGCCCCAAAACCGGAAGCTGAAAGCTGAATATGCTTTGCCTTCTATTGCTTCTTCTTTCTCCTCATCTGCTTCTCTTCTATCCGGCAAGTCGCTGTCGCAGCATCTTGTTCTTTTTATTTTATTGCAAATTATTTTGGGTTATGACTGAGTGTGGCTAGTGCCATCCCGCTTCCACTTTAGTTTGCTGCAGGCTCTTCTTCTCGGGTCGATAACGGCACAAGGGAGGTCGGTCTACAGCCACTCTCACTCTCCCTCTCTCTTTCTATGCCGTCGTCCTGTATTCTCCGTGTGCAGCAGGTGTGCAAAGAGGAGACACTGCAAAAAGAACAGCTAGATACCAGAGTGGGAGTGAGAGAGGGACAGCAGGAAGATTGATCTTCAATGGCCGACAGGTCGGACATGTTTATTTTATTTTATTTTTGTTGACAAGAGAGGAAATTGAGTTTTCTAGGCTTCCACTTCCAACACTTCTACCACTAACAACTATCTCACATTCCATCCTTTTTTTCCGACAGAGCGCTCATCGAACGCATTTTCCTCAGACACAGGAGCCCTTTGGCTGCCCTTCCAGACCGCAGCTGGCACTGTGACAACACTTTACAAAGGTATACGATATACATATTGATTCCCCTTCAATGGTAACCATAACCATACCCAATTAATGCACTTTCCAGAATCATGTGATGGTCTCAAGCGCACTAGCGATGCTGCTGTACAGTGCGGATATCAACGCCGCACACGGGAGCTAGCAGATTGGGCGCGCAGCAAAAAACGGCGTATGATACGCCGGGAGGATCTATTGGCCTATCTAGCCGGAAAACCGATGCCGCCATATAACACAAATCCACATGCCAATCGTCGGTGAGTCCCCCGGCAGCAGGTTCCAGGGCAGTCACCCTTTTATATCTTAACCAAATCCCTCTCTCGATGTCTCCGTAGGTCACCAAAACCAGAGCATAACCACGGCGGTGGCGGCGGACATTTTTCGACCAGCGGAGGACCAGGCTCTGGCCTGGGCTTTCTCGGATCTGGCCTGGACCTGCCCGGTGGCCCACTGACAGGAGCTTCGGGACAGCCATCGCATTTGTTGTCGCCAGCTGTCGTACAGGGTGGTGGTGGCGGTGCCCCGGGGGCTGGCATCGGCGATGATTTGCACACCTTCAAGGAGGCTTTGGTTTTGCGCCCACGGTTAGTCCAAGCATTTGGATTGTGCATATCTTCCCTAATCTCTTGATTGTTCTAATTTCAGTGGGCCGGAACTATTTGCATTTGTTGCCAATGAAATAGCGCGTCACTGCAAGCGTCCCGGCAGTCCCATCGACGATAAAATGGATATATGCCACTATAGCAGTAAACGACAGCGCTTCATGTAATCCCATCGTCCAACAAGCCATTATCTACCCCAAAATAACACACACCACAACCATCCCCCGCAACTCACCTTTAAAGTCGTGATCAGGCAGTGTAGTAGAATCGGCACTATTTTCGGATAGAAATAATCTTTCGAGAGAAGCAAGACAGAAGAGGACGCGTTCTGAAAGCACAGACGTCAAATGTACAATTTTTGCCTTTTTTTCAAATCTTTTTGCAATGGCCTTCGCCCCACACCCACACACACTTTAACCAACTTTTGCATGTATGTGCAGACACTTACATGAGTTTAATCTAGGTTTTAGTTGCTAGTTCTAAAAAAATTCGGTCAACAATTACGATTCACGACGACGAAGCGGTGCAATAGAGTTTTTGGATTTTGGTCGAACAGCTATTGGAAAATTAATTGATTAAGATGAAATATTTTTCTGGGCCAACTGTGTGTCCAATATATAGACTTAGAGTTAAGCAAACAGATATTCGAGGAGGAGAAGAGCAGGTAGTCGCAGGCAGGACTTTAGTTAATGTATTATACAATACTTTTAGCGTGGAAATGCAGCTGTGTAAATATCGTAACTAGATACAGAAGCCGAAAGTATAGCAGGGCAGTGCAGAACCAGAACATCAAGATCCCCCAATCAGTTCTATATATATATAGTAATAATGTATGCGACTTAAGTGAAAAATTTTATTAGCCGATTATATATTTTATATAAATCATATATGTTTTTTTTGTTTTTTTGCTTGTTCGTATAGGAAATCGCCCACTCAGCCACATTCTCCCCCCTCCTAGACCACATCTCCGCTAAAGGAAGGATCTCCACGCCAGTTCTCTGGGTCGGCGTGGTGTCTCTGCCCCAAGCCACAAAAAAAGCTAAATTCCACCTAAACTGAAATTTAAATAAAAAAAAAACAACAAAAAACGCTACAACAAGCATTACTTATGCGCATGGAAGGCACATATACTAAAAAATCAGGCAGAATATGATATATAGAATCTGTGTGTTGGTGGTTAGTAGCCCCGCAAGTTTCTAGCTAGCCAGGTTATACATCTATTAATACGTATGTACGTACATATAGCTATGTATGTGAATAGGAAACGATGTTGTAACACACACACACACAATGCTGTTCTATTCAGAATATGTAACACACACAAACACACACACACAAATTACTAAGCGAAACAACAAAATGGGAAAGGCGAAGAGAAAGGAGGAAGGAGGAGTATCAGAGAGATGATGGCAAAGTCAAGCGGAAGCTGATGTCCTAAGAGAATAATGAAATGTAATTATATGTACTAAAATTTAAACAACTTAACAATTACAAAACAAAACAAGCAAAAAAAATTTAAAAAAACGAAAGCAAAAAACCATAAAAAAAATACAGCGTGACCGGAAGCAAAAATTATAAGTTAAATAAAAACCATATGAAAAAAAGAAAAAAGTTTAATGGAAAATTAGTGATATTTATTGGCGTGGACAATCAAAGGCTATAAAACAGTCCACGAGGCACAAAAAGCTTCGTCGACAAAGTCTTGGGCAGCTCAGTCGGTCCCCAAAATCCAACAACGGTCCAAGGAATCCGACACCAGAATACGCAGTCGGTCCCAAGAAAGCAAAAAAGAAAATGTTACAATCGTTACAAAGAGTCGTCCATCCAGGAGGAAGAGGTGGCTCCTAGAAGGAAGCAGCAGACCAGCGAAACCAGCCTGAAATTGTATTTGGAAAGAATGCTTGGAATGAAAACTGCATTAATTGTACATTGAAATTGCTATGCGTTTTTGTTTGTATTTATTTCGTATTTCATTAATATTAGTTGCATTTTGTATATATCATGTGTGTGTATATTTATACATATCATTTTTTTAACTTTATTTTTTCGTATGTTCATTTTTTGTAGACTGCTCAAAGCTGGCAAATAATGTATGTAGTGAGGGTATTGAAGTTTCTCTCGATTGAGCTACAAAAATGAAACACGAGAGCCCCCCAACGTATATCCATAATGATACAGTGCGTTTCACAGTTGCAAGGCGGGGTTGAGTGATTGTAGAGCAGAACTTCGTTGCTTTGCCAGCTGCTAGGGGGTGCCCTGAAAGAGCTTTTGTACAAATTAATATCCACATACAAATTGAACTAAATTCTTGCAATTTTCCCTTTCTATTTTGGTTATTAGTTACACATTTATCACCATGTTGAGACAAATCCTTGGTTAGTTACTATTAAATCAGGTGTTTTCTAGCCCTCGAAAGTCGGTTAAGATTCTGTACTAATTTTCACAATTAAAGGTCTATTTTTAAATTGAAAGAAATCGTTAATGGGTAAGAATATAGTTAGTCATCAGTTGAAAGAGATCCAGGACTCGATTACTGCCTTCGAATGGGCCAGATTCTATTGTAAAAATGTGTTGGGTCTGTCAATTGGAACCTTTCAGAGCATATATTTATCTATCAAATATCTTCTATTCGATTATACCTATTATTGTGATTAATTTTGGAGATATCTAATAGATTCTGCTTAAGAAGTATCGATTCATCTGGAGGATCTGCTCTCACTCTCCGTCTGGTCCATGCCAGTCCAGCGAAAAGTGAAACACACTGTATGCCCTGAAGTCGTTTTGTTTAATACCCTACCCAGTCGATAGAGCGAGCGATGAAATTGTGTGCCAGCTGCAGCTCTAAGTATACACATGAATGGAACAAATATATATAACTATTTTTTATGTATTCATTAGTTTTTGTTTAGTTCATGCACATTTTTGTTTTTTGTTTTTGTTCAACAACAGCAACAGAAACAATAAGGAGCAGCAGCAGGGGGCGATGTTGCTCCTAAACATACACATAGTAATCTACGATATTGTTTTGGACTGCGGGCTAATGGGTTAGGTTCGGTTCAGAATTAGCAAGAACGTGGGGAGGGGCGGGGTCAAACAATTAAACTACGGAATAAGTATACATAGAGCAGGATCGGGGGGCAAACAGTTTAACTATTGAATTTATATTTAGCAAGATCTCGTTCAATATTTATCGATCGTAGTTGCATGTACATATGTTTGTATACTCATTCGTTTTTTGTTGGTTTCTTTTGTGTAATGTACTAAATACATTGCGTGGTTTATTTAAATACATATGGATATCTTTCATCATACTGTATGTGTATATATATATAGTATATATATATATATATATATAATTCATTTGATTTACTTAATTGCTATGCGTGTGTGCCGTTTTTTAAACAAAAATATAATAAAATATAAGACCCTCGTGTTGTCGGGGCTGGATTGTGGAACGGGAAGGAACAAGGTGGTCAAGACTGTTGCGTGGGGGCGATAGATAGTGTAACAATAAACTAAAATTGGTATGGTATGTAATGCCGTCCTATAACGATACGATACTTTCTTTTGTTTAGTTGCTTGCTCATCTGCGGAATGTCCTTGCATGCACATGTGACTGTGACTGTGACTGGTGTAAGTACTCAACAATTTGAATAACTTTCCACTTTAGTTTTTTTTTTTGCATGTTTCATGTTGCGTGCCTATAAAATTGGTTTAAAGTTTTAACTTAATTCGCTTTTGCGTCCAACAAATTACACTTTCCGAATATTCACTTCCATTACAATTATTACGAATTATCATGCTTCCTTCAAACAATTCCTTTACACAATTAACAACCAGGCTAAATAGTTTTGCTACCAAAATCCCCTCCCTATCTATCTACACCATTCAGAGGGAGACGGGTAGAGAGCCCCCCTCCAGTGTGAGAGAGGAGTGGCAGAGAGGGGAAACTAATACACAATTTCCATTAATTAATATATATATAAAAAAGGCTTTAACTTTAACGTTTTTCTCTTGCGCTGAATGCCTCGGTTCAATTTCCCTTCTTGGTCGTCGTCGTCGTCCCCATTGCCAAAAAGAAAAAAAAAAAAAAATAGTCCAAGTAATGAATGTCCCCAACAAATGATAGTAGGTGATAATATAAAGCGCTGAAGAAGATCCTATGACAGAAGAAAGGAGGTCGGTCGCAACAGCAGCAGCATGCAGCAGGAGGATTAGAACTGCAGCCTAGAACTGCACCCAGTTGGCATTTGCTGAGTTCTGTTGTCCTTGATTGCCCCTGGAACGGAACAACGAAATGCCATTAGGGATGATTGGGAAGCAGCTACAGGAGACACGAGACTCACCCGGCTGATGCATAGTCGGTCCACTCGGAGCCGCCGCCGGATGGTCTGTGGGCTGGCGAGACGCCAGGGCTTGTCCGAACCGTCGCCCCTGGAGAAGCCGCTGCGGCTGGTGGTGGCGCTATCTTGCCCAGGCCACCGGGCGGCGGTGGCAGTACGCCGCTGTTACCCTTGTTTTTGCCAGTCCGGGACGGACCGTCGGAGCCGTCCTTTTTCTATACAAAATAAAACAGCGCATACATGAGTGGAAAGTCCTAATCGGCTGTTAAGGAGCATAGGAGCCTACCGTTATCCTCATATTAATCTTGATAGTTTCCCCCTCCTTGAAGCCCAGATCCAGCTCCTGCTTGGGCTCGGTCTTCTCCTTTTCGATCTGCTCTTGGTTCTTCACCCACTTAAAGTGATCCTGCAGCGCCACATTCAGATCAAAGGAGTCCGAACGATCGCCAAAGCCCAGGCCCAAAAAGGCAGACCTTCCATTGTCGTCCTGGACGCGTATGACGAAATAACGGGAACTGTCGGAGACTGCTTCGATGGCCACGCCGGGATATGTATCGATGGGGCAATTGGCGAATAGGGCGCCGCTGGTCTTATCCTCCAGCTTCAAGATGCAGGCAGTGCCCTTCGCCACAAGTCGCATCCTCCCTGTCCAGGTGGGTTCCTTTAGGTTCCAGTCGGCGGCCCTGCAAACAAGAGATGGGAAAATTCAGATGGAAATCAGTGAGCAACAAAGAAATCAGCAGCCGCGGCAGCAGCAGCAGCACACACGCAAATGATGGAGCTTTTTTCGGATGGGAAAGGGAGAGGAGGGGGGGCCGCATACGTGTAAGGGAAAATGTACAGTAATTAAGCAAAAAGCATAGAGCAGCTGTAAAAAATCAATTGGAAATGAACTTCAAAAGAGAAGAACAGCAACAGCAACAACAACAAGCATAATTTATGCATTCTCACGCAGCACACACACACAGACACCCATACACATGTAGACATGTCCCAGATGTGGGGGCGTCTTTTTGAGTGCAGGGGAAAAACTTTCAAATTAGAATAAAACACAGTAAAAGCAAAAGAAAAAAGCAGAAGTCACTTTTCCTTCCTATTTTTGTTGCCTTGACTCACCTATAGCCTCGATTGCTCGCCCGCGGTGGTATTTTATATATAAAAACCTCCGGTTTGACAATCAGCACGCTCTCGTATTCCATGGTTTTTGTTTAAAAACTTCACTGTTTTTGATTTTGTTTATTATCTGAAATTCTGCCAAGTGTTTTTTTTTTTGTAAGCTCGGGGCACTAGCTTTTAAGCTTACCAACTACACTGATAACGATAGTGCACTCTGGGTATCGATGTATCGCTTAGACATGTATCGCGTGTCTATCGATTATTGAGTTACGGAGATTTTGCCATCTGCAGTATTTTCGCCTTGTCAAGCACTGGAGGGGGTGGGGAGCAAATCAATTTGTTTGAAAACAAATGTGCTTTTGACATAGTTATAGTACAAAATGCGGCCAGATTTAAATATTACCAGCGACAGTGACTTGGAAGCTGTGTTGGAAGAGTTCAAGCAGAAGGTGGAGCGGCGCAATAGTGCTGGCTCGGCCAAGTACACGTGCAGCATTGAGAACTGCGGGGCCACATTCAAGCGTCTCGACCAATTGGATCGGCACGAGTTCCACCACACGGGCAAAGTAAGTGTGAATAACTAACGAAAATTCAACTATTAGCTACTATCACTATGGCTATTGCAGAAGAAGCATGCCTGTACGTATGAGGGCTGCGACAAGACCTACTCAATTGTCACACACTTGAAGCGGCATCTGCGTAGCACCCACGAGCGAACCGAAGATGCGGCACAGAAAAACGTTAAATGCTCAGTGCTGGAGTGCAAAAAGATGTTCACATCCGACAGCAACATGCAGCGTCATGTGCGTGAGGCCCACGACAGTCCCAGGGTGTACCCATGTGGACACTGCCCAGCCAAGTTTTCGCAAAAGTTGAAGCTGAAGCGGCACGAGATCCGGGAGCACACCAAAGACTATCCGTATCGATGCAGCAAGTGTAGCCGCGGCTTCTACCAGGAGTGGCAGCGGGAGAGCCATCAGGGCAGCTGCAAGCTCTACTCCTGTCCCGGCTGTGACCTGCAGTTCGACAAGTGGACGATCTACACGAAGCATTGCCGCGACACGCTGCATAGACGGCAGCGGAACAAATGCGAGCACTGCGAGAGCAGCTACGCCAAGCCCAGCGATCTCAGGCTTCACATGGAGGCCAAGCACAAGGACTCGGTGGGGGCTTTTGCATGCACCGAGGAGGGTTGCTCTCGCACCTATTCATACGAGCGTAATTTGCGCCAACACCAGCTGGCGGCGCACACCGGAAGGCGCTTCGAGTGTCAAGCCATCAACTGCGGACGCTGCTTCAGCAGTGCCCAGAACCTGTCCAAGCATCTGGCACGGGATCACAACGATGGAAAAGAGAAGGTGGAGAAGGAGAAGTCGAAGTCAAATTCGAAGACCCGCAAGCGTCGTCGCGATGCTGGTCGCACCAAACATTCCAGGCTGTCAAAGCTGACCTGCCTGCAGCTGGAGAAGGATGTGGATGAGGAGGTGCGCCAACGCAAGTCCCCGGCTTTGAAGAAAGTCGCTGAATATCTGGTTGAAGAAGATCCCTTGCAGCAGCTGATTAGCGCGACTCTACAAGACGATGAGGCAGTGGACTAAAGATACGCATCTTCCGTTTTAATATTTATTAAACAATGTTCAAAACAAACAAAAAATGCTTGATGGGGAAGCAGGTGGAAATGCGGTGTAGGACGGTGTACACTACAGGGAATTGATAACCTTCCGGCTGCGCATCTGTTCCAGCCAATGCTCGTACTGCTGCTCGGGTGTTTGTGGCTCCTGGTAGTAGTGCTCGGGCGGCTGGCCCTCCTCCAGGCGCACAAAGTAGTGACAGTGCTTGTACTCCACCTGGCCGAAACGACCGCGCGCATGTCGTCGCATTCCCTTGAAGACGCGGCCCTTTCCCACAAATGATTCGGCTACCCACAGATTGCTTTTGTATTCCACATTGTGCCGCTGAACTGCCATCTCCTGTGCCTCCAAAATGGTCTCCTTCACATCGGTGGCTCCCTTCTTGAGCACAAAATTGAGCTGCTTGAGGGCTTCGTCCACGGACATGCCGCGCACAAATGCTGCTATATACCACATCTTGTCCGGGCTGTATTTGATATTGCTGCGCATATGACACACGTACTGTAAAGGCAGGATGTGGAGTACGGTCCATAAGAGTGGGTTTAATCGGAATGAGAATCTAAATTGAATTTACCGCCTTGCGTGGCTCCTCGTCCGGCTGCTGGGGTGGATGCACTGTTTTGTTATATACCAGCCACTTGCGCGGCCCATTATTGTGTTTGTTCCAACTGGCGCACAGGGCTCCTCCAGATCCAGCGGCCGTGTGGAGACTGTGGTGATTGACAGGTGCCCCACTGTGATCCAGTGCGGATGGGGCGGACGCGGAGGCAGTCGCCTTAAGCAGCGCTGAGCTGGGCATCGCTTGCAGCCTCAGCTGCGACATTTGCCTTATCACTGTGTGCATGACTATTGGGTTTCTATTCAAGAGTTTCCAAATAAAATAAAATAAAATAGGAATCGCGTAATGTGGGTGCCAGAGGCTGCCAGCTAGCTGAAAACTGGCCAGCTATGAACAGCTGTTCATATCTCCTGCTTAAATCCGAAGCCGATCTGGCAGCTCCGTACTAAACGGTAAATTTCAAAGAATTTTTCACGTGTTTTCCGCTGTTTCGTTTAATTGTTAATTGTTCATAATTCAGTGTATATCTAGGGATAATGAAATTGCCGATCGCCTTCGGGCTGCTATGCGTCTGGCCCGTTCTAATCGGTCGGTGCCAGTCGACGGACAAAAAGTTGGAGATTGCCAAACTGCGCAGCGAACTGAACGATGCCCTGGAGGCCAGCGATGTGGGACCGGTAAGTGGCTTTTTTCCTTCACTTCCGGTATTCAGTGGGTACATCTGGGCTCTTCCTGCCGCAGCCAGGAGTCATCACACAGCCAGTGTGGACGAAGCAGGCACAAGGCGCTCCTATCCCAGCGACAGCAGGTAAGGTGATTGTGGATCAAGCGGCCTTGAGGAGTGCCGCTGCCGTTCGGGACGAGATCCAGAAGGCTGTGGCCCAGCAAGGACATACCCAAGAAGTGCTGCAGCTGGATGCGGCTCTCAAGGCGGCGAGCAGTGCGCAGGCGGGCTCTACCTTGGGCGATGCGCGCCAGGAGATGCTGGGCGCAAGCCAGGACCCCGAGGACGCTGGACCCGGGCAGCCGAATGTGGTGGAATCGCAGGTGGACACGCCTGGCATAGATCTGGAGCAGTTGCAGCGCGTCGAACTGTCAAAGCGTCGGACCCGCGACCTTCTTGTGCTTAGTCGCATCGAAGAGGACCTACACTTCACCCTCGGCGCCGATGTGGACCAGTGGCTGTCTGTGCTGGCCAATGGCAGCGTCTATCTTGTGGGCCTGCAGCCTGGGGGCTTCCTAGTGCTCAACAGAGACTTCTCGACCTTGCAAACAGTGCCGCTGACTGCTCCCATTGACGCGATGATCAGCATCGAGCGCTGGAGCATCCGCACCCACCTGCAGGAGGGTCTGTTGGTGGTGGCCTCCCAGCACCAGCTCCTCTGGCACCGCCTGGAGCCGGGCCAAGGCCTGGTGCCCTTCTGGCACTGGCCCCTTGGCAGCCCAGCCACTAGGCTGTCGATCTTCAGTCTGGAGGGTCGCGACTTCATCGTACTGGCCGGCAATCGCACCCTGAACGTCTACTCCTACGACTTGGAGGCGGAGGAGTTCTGGATCGCCCAGCGACTGCAGCTGCCAGAGACGATAACAGCCATGGCCGTCCTGGACACTGGCCGGGAACTGCTTTTGGCCGTGGGACAAACGGACCAGGCCTTCATCTATGCCTACAATCCGCGAGAGCGTCCGATTGGGGATGCGGGGCTGCAGCTGCAGCTTCACCAGAGGGTGGAGGCGCCTCAGGTGGCGACTATTGCCGCCTTCCAGATGGGTGGACGCAGCTACCTGGCCCTGGGCGGACAGCGACCCCAGATCCTGGCCCATGTGCAGGGCCAGCTCTTGCCGCGTACGATTCTGGGTCAGAATTTCGGCTTCGTGGAGTTCTTTCTGCCCGTGCCGGTGCGTAGCTATCGGGACGATCTCTTGCTGCTCGTGCAGCATCGCGTCACCTTCGACACGCACACGCTGCTCGTCCTGGAGGTGCTCATATGGACAGGCGAGGCCTTCGAGGCGGGCCTGCCGCCTCCGTGCGGAATCAACGACCAGCACATCACCCACGGTGCCGGTTGCATGCTGGACCACGAGCGGGAGGCGGGCCTGATTGGAGCAGCGCTGATTCGGCAGCAGGACCATCCGCCGCTGATGCTGGTGCCCCGCCGCCAGGCACCGTCGGGGCTCTTTCGCCTGGAGACGCAGCTGCTGCCACGGAATTCGGAGGCAAAGGATTTGCAGGAGATACAACAGTTCATGCGAGAGTGGGTGGAGGAACAGGACGCTATAATCCGTCTAGTCGAAGCACAGCTGCGTTCGCCCCTTCCCTTGGAGAAGGAATTCGAGGAGATCCGCGCCCCTCAGGTGATCAACGAAGGCGGTGACATCATGGAGCTCTTCGTCAACGATGCCCGGTGGACGGCTGACGATGCGGCCATCGATCTGCGCCAGCTTCTGCAACAGATCCGCCTGCTCGAGCAAGAGCTGCAGGCATCAGCAGCTCCAAGGCGGCCCAAACGCCAGCCTGAGGCGCTCTACAACTTCCACTATGATCTACTGGAGGTGGACAGCGTCGATGCGGATATCCTCGTCCTGGACAAGTTGAACCACGTGCCGTTCTACGTCCAAAACAGGTCCTTGTCCTTTCCTGAAGGGTCGCTCAATGTCCAGCGCCTGGAGCTGTTGGAGGCCCCAACAGAGCAGCTTCCCGCCGAGGGATCTGAGTCGCATGAGCGCCTGAAGCTGGACGGGAACCTGGAGTACGAGAGCATCAACGGCTTGGATTGGGCCCAACTGCTACGGGAGCTGGTGTGGCGGCATCGGCCACTGCAGCTCTCCCAGCTTCATGTGCAGGGCGTGAGTGGAGTAATTTCACTCTTTCCCTTTCTTTGTAATCCTGTGCTTTCCATTCTTCCATACACAGGCTGTCATATTCGAAGATGCACTGCATCTGAGCTCGCTGAACGAGCTCCGTTTCCCCGAGGATTACTTGTGGTCACAGGGAAATGGTACCACCATCGTCCAGGCACCCAAGGAGTTCACCCAGACCCTCTGTAGAGTATCCCTCTTCCCTTTTATCTTCCATTTCTCTCATTCGATTGCCGTTTGCAGCCGCTAATGTCGTGGACACGACAGGAACCATCAATGAGATGCGGCCAGAGGATGCCATTAGCCTCAGCAATGCCCAGGATTGGCCCGGTTTTGTCACCTTCTCCCAACTGGAGGTATCCGAGGAACTGGAGCTCAATGGCACTGCCCAGGGCAGGCAGTTCGAGGAGGCGCCCCTGAATCCCACTCTCCTAGAATCGCACCACATCCGCTCCGACTGCCATTTCGCACAGCTATTCGTCCAGGGGCCGCTCCATTTGCGTGGCTTGCTGGACAACGACAGCTACGACTCCCTGCTGGGCGATCTGCTGCAGCGTTCGCCCGATCCCGTGCAGGAGCTGATTGTGGGGGGTGCCAAGCGTGTGGTGGGACAGCTCACGCTGCCTGTGGACACCCATGTGGCGGATGGAAAACTGAGCGGCATCCAACTGGAGCACTTTGTGACCAAGCACACGAATCAGGTGCTCCGAAATCTGACGCATCTGCGTGGATACGTTTACTTCCATCGGCTGCACCTTGCCGAGGGCGCCAGCTACGATGGAGTCCATCTGGAGAAGCTCCTGGCCGAATCCTTGCGGCTGGACGGGCCCTCCCTTAGTTCTCCCGGCACCCGGCTACGCTTTGAGGGCCCTCCACCGGCTATGGCCGGAGGACTGCGCCTGGAGCACAGCCTCAATCAGGTGCCGCTGGCCAGTGGCTATCAGACACTCCGCGAGCCCCTACACTTAAGCCGCGTCAGCTTTCAGCGCCTGGAGGCCGAACAGGCACAAGTGTCCCGCGATGTGATCGGATCGGGGCTACTTAATGGCCGCCATCTGGGCGACGTGCTGCAGGAGGAGCCGCACAGCTGGTCCGGAGAGGTGCACGTACAGGAATTGATCTTGCCGCAGGGCGTACAGGCGCAAGAACTGCAGGGAGTACGGGCGGACCTGATGCTCGATTTCCTGCAGCAGCTGGACGAGCTGCCACTGCTGATCCTGCAGGGCCAGCTGCAGGTGGAGCGAATTGCCGTCAGCGGATCGGTGCAGGTCGAAGGTCCGCTCAACGGACGCGATTTGGACCACCTGCAGCGGGAGGTGATTTGGCTGGACCGCACCAACGAGATGCGAACGCGCTGGCGCCTCCTGGAGCCACCAGTATTCGTCGGCGATCTGCACATCCTGGGCAGCTTCAACGAGCGACTACTGCCTGAGCTCCTCGATGACATTGTGTTCCGTTCGGATGGGGATCAGGATGTGGTCATCGAGGGAACCAAAAGCTTCACTTCTCCCCTCCGCGTGGCCGACGAACTGCATCTAGAGGCACTAAACGGTGTAACCTTCGAGCGGTTGGCCAACAGGCGGCACCCGTTGAACCTCACTGGCAATGTGCGTCTCCAGGGCCGCCTTCATGTGGCTGCAGTGCAGCTCGAGGGTGCGCTGAACAACGATCCGCGGGCCATGGGCCAGCTGGAAGAGCTCCTGCGCTGGGATCCCGTCTGCCAGGACTTCGTGCAGCGCGGAAGAGTGGTGCTTCTGCCTGGTGGTGCGTCTATGCCGCTGGAAGACCTCACAGTCCTAGGCCACTTGGGAAATCTCAGCCAAGAGCCGGTGCAGCATCTCTTCGAGCAAATGATTTTCAAACAAGAACCGCACATCCGTGTCGAGGGTCACAAGATCTTCACGGGACGCGTGAGCATCCCAGACGGGGCTCACATTCGCCAGCTGAACGGACTCGACCTGGAGCAGCTACTCAGTCAGCTCATCTTCATCGATGGACAGGAGGAGGTGATTGTGGAAACACCCGTCCAATTTGCGGCGCCCGTCCAGGCGGATCGACTGCTGGCCGATCGTCTCGTGCTGACGGGACAGCTCCTCAATGGATGCAATGTGACGGAATGGCTGCTAGATACCGTACGCGTGGATCGCGACTGGCAGGGTCCTCAAAGTGAGTAGTAGAAGTAGTACTAGTGGAGGCTAGTAGAGGAGCCTTACGAACCCCTCTGACCTTGCTTTGATCTTTCAGTTCCCATCACATTTGCCGATGGATCACTGGATCACAATGCCTTGGAGGTGGAGCAGCTGAATCACGTGAATCTGTCGCGTTTGGTTACCCTGCACACGGAACAGCACCTCCTGGAGCCCCTACTGGCAGAGGAGCTGCTGCTGGATGGGATGATTCAAGTGCAAGGGCTGGTCAATGCCCGCAATCTCTCCCAGGAATATGCCAATACCTTGAGGGTGCGCCATCGAGCAATTGCTTGGGGAT